CACGTGGTTCCTATGGGGAAGAGACATTTCTCCAGCAATATCATAGCAACAGAAACATACAAGTCTTATTCTAGTATCAAAATAACTTATGAAGAACCAGACGTTCTATATTATTGAAAATTAAACCTCATGCATGTTGTATGAATTGAAATTATTAGCTAATTTCTGACCTCATTTTAAAGTACACTAAAATATCAGTATAGAAACTGAAGTAGAAATCTGGAAGAAGCAAGGTGTGAATCTGGCCCTGTGTTTATAGGTAAGCCTAATTTTTCTTACTATGACACATCAGAGTCTATCAACAAATTCTGACAGCACATCAAATGACTCAGAAACTCTTTGTAGCTTTTAAAAAGGGGTTGATGAATAATAATTATATAACAAATGGGTTTTTAAAGAGTTTTTGCCTAAGGCTTGTAATGCTAAATTAGTGAAGCCGCTTTTCGGTGGAATAGGCAAAATGTTGCTTCATGTTAGCAATTAGGCAGTGTCTTTTGATAATTTTTGAATTAATTTGTGAAAGTGTAAACACCTCTCTACCTGAAATTGCATGATTTACATGAAGTCTGCCTAACTCACAACACTAGCAACCTCTCTGTCTAATTTGTTAAATAAGCAAAGGTTATTCAGGTTTGTGAAACTGAATGAATGAAGCAAGACCTCTGGCCTGACTCATTAATTTGCCATGGCATTGCCTAATTAGTTAAATAATACACAGAGGGGTTTTTTCCCGTGAATCAGGAAGCTGCGTTTCATCGAACAGAAAAGCTTCATGAATTAGACAAAGATGCTGCTGATTTTATGAGGCTGATGCATTTCTGAAAGTTTCATGAGTTAGGTATGGTATTGCATTCCTACAAGTCAGGAAAAAACTTTGCTTCCCTTATGAATCAGGTAATGATGCTGCGTATTTTAATAATATGAAGCAGACTGAAGCATTCTGATTTCCCTCTAGAAGTCCTTGCAAAATTCAAAGCTTCAATGAGCAAAGTCCATGAATGAGAAGGATCTTGTGGGTCACAGGAGTAGAGACAGCAGAAGTAGATGTTGAGAATAAAAAAGCCAAAAAGAGCAACCCGAAAAGCATCCTGATAAAGGTAATAAGCGTGTGTACACACACACACACACACACAAAGCCAGAGCAAAGGTGAGGCGCAACCAAGATTAAAGCCAGGTAGGAAGCTAGAAAGCAGGCAGTGCAATAGCACAAACAGGGGCATGGGCTGGAAAGCATGGGACAAAAGCATTGCACTAGGTAGACTGTTCTTCAAGCCAGAGTTGAGTTTGACTTGGAAACATTTATGTTCAGGACCTTCCATGGGAAGGTCTAAAAAGGCTGGTGTTCAGGACCAGCCTTGGCATTCCATGATCACCCTAGGCAGAGGTGTACCTGATTCACACATCAATGAGTAGTTTGCTTTTTTCCCCATAAGTCAAAGCTGTTCTCACTGCCTGGTAACTAGGGCCACTTCTAGCTATCATTGAAAGACCAACATGAACCTGCCCATAGAAGGACCCAGGGGAGAAAGGAAACTTGCAGGTGAGAACTGCATGTGGTAGAAACTGATGGAGTAGTAATAGTGTCTCCTAATTTCTTGGTGCTGTGACTATTCCATCATTCCATACCATTTAGTCAAAAAGTCTACATAGCATCCATGTTCCCCATAGCATGTGCTAGGTTGTGTTAGCACACAGATTCCTGGATCCTCAGCACAGGGATTTTCAACCCAGCACATGAGGTCTGAGGAGTAGGTGGCTCTGCCCTCCGACTCCTCAACTGGCCTGCCTCAGCTGCCTGGTTGACTATTTAAGGGAGGGTCCAGGTGGGGCCTGGATGTGGGCCCTATAAAGGGAGGCGGTTGTGCCGGGCCACTCCTTCATCCTGTTCCTACCTGGATTTTGAAGAGCCCTTGATGCTGCCCAATAAGACCTGTTGGCTGCTGCCCTGCCCCACTGCATCAGGTGAGCCTCTCCCTTGATTAAACATCTCTGTCTGGGGAGGGAGGTGAGGAGGGCCCAAGCCAGGCTGCGTACTTCCCTTCCCCCCCCATGGGCCTTTAAGTAGAATGCGGCAAAAGGCTCTTCATGGCCCACTCACTGCCAGCACCATGAGGAGGGGGCTGCAGGGGATCCCCTTTGCCTGGGGAGGGAGATCCAGGAGGGCTCCAGGCTGCGCAGTTCCCTTCCCTTTCCCCCAGGGGCCTTTAAGCAGAACACAGTGAGAGGCTCTTTGTGGGGCTCTCACCGCTAATGCAATGAGGAGGGGGCTGCAGGTGATCCCCTTCTGCCAGGGAGGAAGATTGAGAGGGATCCAGGCCGTAGGCGTGCCTTCTCCCTTCCCACCTTGGGCTTTAAACTCCAATGCGGTGAGAGGCTCTTCTTCTCCCCCCTGTGGGCTTTTAAGACTTTCTGTTTCTCTCCCTCTCTCCTTTCTCTCTCTGTCTCTTTTTGTCTATCTCTCTTTCCCTTTCTGTCTCTATGTCTCTCTTTCTATCTCTATGTCTCTTTCTGTCTCTATGTCTCTCTCTCTCTATGTGTCTCTTTCTGTCCCCTTCTCTCTTGTTCTCTCCTTCTGTCTCCCTCTTTCTGTCTGTCTGTCTCTCTTTCTTTCTTAGCCTATCAAGGTCAGTATTGCCAGTGCTCTGCAAAGATGTTTAGGATGGAGAACTGGTTAGCAATTAAGCGCCCATCCTCCAACCAATCCTTTTCTTTCCTACAGCTGAATTCTCTATCCTTGCATTTGTGCTGCCTTGGCAAAAGTGGGTTTGGGAACACACATTTGCCAAGGTAATGCAAGTTCTGCCTTTAGCACTATGGCTTTTCAGGTGGCTTTCATTGTTACCACCTCTTAATTATCTAGTGCTAGATGAATAAGAGTCTTGTAGCACCTTAAAGGCTAATAATATTTTATTCCTACATAAGGTTTGGTGAACTAGAGCCTATTTCTTCCTCACTTTTAATTCCTCTCTTCCCCCCTTAAAAAAAATGTAGGCCCACTCACAGCTTTAAGGCCAGTAGATTTTTTGGCTCATGAGATAAAATTTCTGCTCACAAGATGACACAGCTTAGCGGGAACATTGCATAGGGTATTGGATCTTAGACAGTAACCTATTCCATCAGTGACTCTGGGTATCTATCTCCTTATCCCACCAACTTCCTTACACTCTTACACTCTTTCAGTTTCCTGTCCCTTTCTTGCCTTCTGAATGTTTCACTTTGCTACTGTAGTAGCATACAAAAACAACAAAGATTTTTGTTTTCCAACTATTACTGGTAACCAACAATTACACTGCTAGCTGTTAAAGCAAGATGCTTCCCATCAAATGGAAAATTGTTGGGATTTCATACAAATATTTAACATTAGCCTGAAAGTGGATCCGGTCTTTGAAAAAAGAGGGGTAGTTCATCCCAAAACTTAGTTCTGCATACTACAGGAAGGATTTGGTTATCCTGATTCCTTTGTTTTCTACCCAATTATCAGACATATGCAAAGTCACTCAAATATGAAAGCTGGCGTTTTGAAACAGAGAGTTAAAAAGGAGTACAAGTGCTTTGAAAATGCAGCTTTAAAGAACTGTGGGGTAATCCTGAAGACTTTGATAAAACAAATGAAAGCAAGAAATCATGTGTAAATATTTTAAACCAATGGGGTCAAAGACATTCCTGTAAATTTAAATTCCATGGGTTTTTTTACATCTGAAGGCAATGAATTCATATAAAAAAGAAAGGGTCTTTGCTTTTGTTTTTTTTAATGTTGAAACTGCAGTGACAGTAACTGAAGCTGGGTGGCAGAATTTGATCACTGACGTAAATGTTTGGCCTTTTATTACCTGTGCTTCAAATATGGCCATAAAAATTAAAGTTTTATTACTGAAATCCATATTTTCATCTGAATTCCCAATAGAAATCTGTAAATACAGCCTTTTATATTCTTCTCAGTGCTGAAGAATCTCCCTACTGATGCAACATGAAAGAACTAAAGGCTCAAGATCTTCGAGGCACAGAAAGATCCACAATATAACACTGTAATTTTTCATGATTTATCTGTGCCTGAGGCTTGCATGTTTTCAAGATATCCTATGAAAGGAAACCATGTCTGTATTGCACAAAATATCTACCTTCAAGAAAAGTTTTGTATTCAGATCTGAAAGAGATACGAAGGGCAATGTTTTACTATTCTATACTCTGAATGGACTGTACATTGGGGATTAAACAAAAATGTTATCAAGACAACATGGCCTGCTGCCATAAGTTCTGTGTTTTCAGAATCCCCATACCATCTAGAGGATTTCCCAAAAAGTATACTAATGAGTGTGTCATTATGTGTGGATGACTTGACAAAGGGCATAAACAGGATTAAGGCTGCCGGTACGCTCCCATCAACTTCATTTCTTTGCATCCCATTATCACACTAGAAAACTGTCCTTACATGAAAGCCTGTCTAAATAATTGAGAAACAGCATGTTTTCCTGTGTTACATTCATCACAAATGTACATAGTACAGTTTACAAAGAACAACATGACCAACCTTGGCGAATCATTACATATAAGTGAAACGAACAATGTGACAGGAGTTTTAATTTTCACCATGTTTCCAGATTTTAGTAGTGCATTCTGCCATAAGAAAAAGCATCAACATCAAGGCAAGAACCATATGCTAAAAGGTCAGACCTTTAAAAGGTGGCTTGTTCTAAATAATGAACTATTGAACAGCCTACTGAATAACACTGTTTAAGGTGTATTGAAAAACTTAAAATATAGTACCCTTAAAAGACAAAATCTACAAAAACATAAAATGTTGAAGAACAGCTGAGAGATGCTCTTTTATCAGAACAAAAGAGTTTCATTCACCAGTGAGTAATTAAGAGAGCAATCTTAAACTGATCTATTCAGAATACTACTCAGGTCTATTCAGTGGAACTTACTCCCAGCAAAGTGTTCTTAGGATTGCACTGCAAGTTCAATGAACTGTCGATACACATGTGTACACAGAAGGCAATTCACCAGCGTTCCACCTGACTGTTATAATCCTCAGTAACAGTGATTTCTTCTTCTCCCTCCTTTTGCCATTCATGAACCTTCTGCTCACGCAATATTTTCCGTTCTTCCCGTCGTTTTTGACGATTTTGTTCATGCTCTTCTTGTTTGGCATATTGAAATCGCTGCAGAAAGAGGTCTTTAGCAAACTCATATAGCTGCATATCCAGGAAGTTCAGCTCTTCTATGTGCTTCCTCACGGACTCACTGATATCCACATTAGAGGCTCGTGTGATGTTGTACTGAGTGAAAGGGGAGATAAACTCCAGGTTGAATGTCCTCTCAAAAAGATACTGAGTTTTCCTCTGAAACTCTGTGAGTCCAAAAAAGGCCATGTTTTTCAGGTTGTTCTTGGCGCTTTGTAGAAGGATCATATTTCTTTCACTTTCATTCATAGAAGTCAAATTATAACACCCAACCAGGCTAAGGTCGGCCAGCATGCGCACCTGGCGGTTGTTAGCCAGATTGTGGCTACAGTTCATGAACTCCTGTAAGCTGACCCCAGACCAGTCATCTCCTAGGTAACACATAGGCAGTTCCTCCGGTGTGGGGCTCCTCCCATCACACATATGGAGAGAAGTCTTCCATGTTGCACCTCTTTGGACATGCTTCCACTCACTCAAGTAACGTGATACCGGGTCCCTCAGCATTGTGATGTAGTAGAAGTTCCTGAAATGTGGAAGAAAGTGCATTAGAAAACAGTGTTGTTTTCTTTAATCAGTTTATTATTAATTGAAGAACCTCAAACAAATGCCTGTGATTTGCTCTGTTCTACACTGGGTTGTGGTATCACTCCAGCACAAAGAATTTAATATGCAGAATAAGAGGCAGAATTTACTTTGCTAACTTTGGCTCTGTTCAGCCTTCCGATATAGACTTTTCTCTAAGATACGTTTCAGTGAATTTTTGTAACACAACCGTTAGGGTTGCCAGGTCCTTTCAAATCCCTGGCAGGGGACTTTGAGGGGCATTACTGGAGAAGGTGGGGCCATCCGCAAAGAGATGACATCATGCTGAAGTTGTGTCATCATGTTGGGGACCAGTGCCACCTGCTCCCTCTGAAAAGCATTTAAAAAAGAAGTGGGGGGAGGCTGACCGTGCCTGCACTCCAAGCCACAAATTCGCAGCTTGGAGTGCAGGCACCCGGCCCCACTTCTTCCAAATAGCATTTAAAGGGACCCCTTAAATGTTGTTCAGAAGAAACATGGGGAAGGCTGCCCGTGCCTGCAATCCAAGCCGTGAATTTGCAGCTTGGAGTTCAGGTGCCCGACCCTCCTTCTTCTGAAAAGCATTTAAAGGATCCCTTTAAATACTTTTCAGAAGAAGTGGGGGGGGGGGGGCCGCCCCCCCCTGCGCTC